CTGAACCTGCAGGACAAACCTACGGGAGGGTGTGGCCAGAGAAGCCAATGAATGGGGTGTGTCCCGGTGTGCTGGGCGGGGCCTCCTAACGGGCCAATAGGAACTGGGGGCGTGGTCATGGGGAAAGCAGGCGGGAGGGCGCTGATGGCTTTTCCAGGGAGGAAGCGGGGGAAGGTGTCGGGAAGAGATAAGGCTCGTGGGCGGCCCGGGCGGGCATGAGGGCGCGGGGCGGGCTCCGGGGTTTGTCCCGGTTTCCGGAGCCGCCTCCTGCCTGGCGGGGACTCCAGGTGTCCCGGTGCCTGGGGCTGCAGCTCGGGCCTCTACTTCCCCAGGGGCCCTAGGGGGATAAAGACAGGACAGACACTGGACAGGGAAGAGAAGAGGGGGAGGACCTGAGGCCTGGACGGGGGAGAGACTGGGGGGGGGGCGGGGGAAGACCGGAGGCCTGGGCAGGACAGGGATAGGGGAACCCCCAGGCCTGGGCAAAGGAGAGAAAGAGGACGCCTGAGGCCTGGGCTTGCGAGGGAGCCCCCCCTTGCCACATGGTAGGGGGGATTCCTGCAGCGGGGTGCGGCTCTGAGTCACCCCTGTAAGCAAGCTCCTGGACCAACACCGCTCCCCCTGGAACCTTCTAGGCCTCCTGGCTTCCTGCCCCACCTCCACCCTGGCGGCCTCCCGTGGAAATGTTGAATTTGGCCTCCAAAATCGTTCTTACAACAAGGCCTGTAAGCAATGCGTCCCTCTCCCTCTCTCTCCTTCCTTCTCTCCCTGTCTCTCTCTCCCTCCTCTCTGTAGCTTTTGCACAAGGTCCCTGGGACTGACTCCTACCACCCCCCCAGCCCTAGACCGTCTGACACTGTCTCCTCTGTTCTCTTCCAAGCACCCTCCCTGATTTCCCCAGGGTCAGAGGACCCGATCTAGCCCCTGACCCACCGCACTGTCCTGTCCTCATCTTGGAATGGGACCTGGGGTGCAGTAGAATTGCTCTGGGCACAGCGGAGACTTTGTTAAGTGCCAGCTTTTCTAGTGAGATCCCTCCTGTAAATATTTGCAGAGCAATTCTGTCCCAGCTGCTGGGAGCACAGGCTTGAAGGACTCCAAAACCCTGGGTCTGTGTGGTTTAAGTATGAGCTGACCAGTCGTGATGTATGGCTGACCCGGCTGACCCATGACCAGGCAATGAGGACGTTGGAGAAAACTACCACCGTGAAAAGAAGGAATTACAAATGCATCAAAAGGTGTGTGCCAGTCACCCTAGCTACTCAGAAAGCTGAGATCTGAGGATCAGGGCTCAAAGCCAGCCTGGACAGCAAAATCCAAGAGCCTCTTATCTCCAGTGAAGCCTCAAAACCAGGAAGTGGAGCTGTGGCTCAAGTGGTAGTACACCAGCTTTGATCAGAAAAGCTAACGGCTAGTGCCCAGGCCCTGAGTTCAAGCTGCAGTACTAGCACGCACACTGACTGAAATAATAAAAGAAGGCAGAGGAAGACCTTCCTTTAGAGATTCGGAATAAATCGGGAATAGCCAGGGAGCAAGAGAAAGCTGAGAAAGTAAATGGCAAGTGCAAAGGTCTTGGGATAGACCCTGGGTAGCAAAATGGAGAACGATGGGCAAAGAGTGAGAGATGAGGGAAGTGAAGAAGGGATGGAGTAAGGGAAGGACACCAGTTGGGGGGAGACACAGTGAGGCCCTGCGTTTGGGGGGGGATGAGGGAGTCCCCCCCCCTCCGGCCTGCTCACCCGCACCAGCCGGGCCCGCTTCACCAGGTCGTTGAGCTTGCGCAGCGCTGCGTGGCGAGGTAGGCCCTGGATGTCCCGGAAGAGATCCTGCTCCTCCAGCTCGAAGAGCCGCCGGTTGTCGGGCACCAGGAGCGGCTGGGACCAGAAGGAGCCGATGTAGACGCGCAGCACCTCGGGCGTGCCCACCACCTTGCCCAGGGCCCACATGAGCGCGCCGTAGACGCGCATGAGCTGCTGCGTCTCCACCATGTCGGCCTTGTTGAGCACCACGCGGATCTTGTCCTCGTGGCCCCGCAGGGCGCCGATGGCCTCGGAGAACTCATCCGAGATCTCCAGCTTGTGCGCGTCGAACAGCAGGACGATGAGGTCCACGCGCTCAGCGAACCAGCGAAGCACCGCCGGGAAGTCGTAGCCTGGGGCGGAGGGCGGAGGGGCGGGGCAGAACTGAGTTCAAGCCCCAGGACTGGTCCGTAAAATACCACAGCGCCTCTGGGGGCGTGGCTCTGTATGGGGCTGGTCGCCTGGGGGCGTGGTTACACGTGGGGCGTGGCGTGCAAGCCCCAATAACCACCAAGCATTTCAAGGAGCCCCTCTCCTGTGTCCTGACCCCCCTCCCTTCCTAAATGCCCCTGTCACCAGAGCCCCTCTCCAGGACCCCCCCCCAAGTCAGATTCCCTGGCAAAGGGTCACAGTTCACATCTTTAATGTGATTGTCATTATTAATGTCAATCCTGGGGCTTGAACTCAGGGCCTAGGCGCTGTTCCTGAGCCTCTTTGTGCTCAAGGCTAGTGTTCTACCACTGGAGCCACAGCGCCACTTCCTGCTTTTTTCTTTTTTGCTTACGTGGTGCTGAGGAATGGAACCCAGGGCCTCACGCATACAAGGCAAGTGCTCTACCACTGAGCCACCTTCCCAGCCCATGTCTGGCTTTTTTTTTTCTGGGTAGTTTGTTGGAGTTAAGAGTCTCATGGGGAAATGGCACTATGGTTCAAGTGGTAGAGCCCACAACTGACAAAAAAGAAAAGGAAAAATAAAAAGTTTCATGGACTTTTCTGCTGAGCTGGTTTTGAACCTTGAGCCTCAGATCTCAGTCTCCTGAGTAGCTGGGATTACAGGTGTGAGCCACTGGTGTCCAGTTTGTCCCTGAAGTTTTTTCCTTCAAGGCTGGTCCTCTACCACTTAAGCCACAGCTCCACTTCCAGATTTTTTTTTGGTAGTTTATTGGAGATGAGTCTCAAGGGCTTTCCTGCCTGGGCTGGCTTTGAACAACCATCCCCATATCTCAGCCTCCCGAGTAGCTGGGATTACAGGAGTGAGCCACCATGCTACTCTTCTCCTGTTCCCCTCCCCTTGTGACACTTTTTTTTTTTTCAATCTGTTTCCTGAGTCCTTTCTGCTTCAAGCTCTGTCTTAAATCCTGGAGTCAACACAGACAGAGTGGAAGTGCTGGCTCTGTGTTCTCTCATTTCTTCCTTCCTTCATTCCTGTCTCCACCCATGAGCTTCATTCACTTCTCCCCACCTTGGCTGGTCATTCACTAACTCATTCACCAACTAGCAGAGCATGGGAAAGCAGAGACTGAGAGGCCTCGCTCTACCATCTGACAGTCAAGAAGACCTGGGTTTGAATCCTGCTCTGTCCCCATTAGCTGTGTGACCTTTAGTTAAGTCAACTAGCCTCTCTGAATTTGTGTCCTCTTCTGGAGGTGAGGACAGGACCTGTCTCACAGGTGCCATTCAAGGGTGCAAGTGAGCGGATGCAGGTAAAGTGCTTGGCACTGAACTGGAATCTGAGGCAGCTTCAGGGCAAGATGGATTAAGACCTCAAGAAAACTGTGAAAAGGAGCTGGGTGCTGGTGGCTCATGCCTGTAATCCTAGCTACTCGGGAGGCTGAGATGTGATAATCACAGTTCAAAGCCAACTGGGCAGGAAAATCTGCAAGACTCTTATCTCCAATGAACCACTAGAAAACCAGAAGTGGTGCTGTGGCTCAAAGTGGTAGAGACCTATAAGGGAAAAAGCTCAGGAACATTGCCCAGGATCCAAGTTCAAGTCCCATGACTGACAAAAGAAAAAAAATCACACACAAAAAAAACAAAGAAAACTATGAAAAGAACAACTACCCCCCCCATGCTTCTAGGGCAGCAATCCTTGGGGGGGGTGTACATAGACATTTCCAGAGGGGTCAGCCTGGAATGGGAGGCAGGGTTCCCTGGGGAAGGGGCAGGGAGGGCTTCCTGGAAGGAGATGACAAGAGGGGACCCCCTGAAACTCCTCCCATCCCCAGCCACGTAGACTGACTTGTTGAATCTGCTGGGCACCAGCAAGCAGCCAGGAACTCTGCTGCCTCATTTTCCAGATGAGGAAACAGGTGTGGGAGGATGAAGGCCTAATTCTGCCTGGGAGGAAGCAGGAGGGATGGGGGGACTTGGGGCATTGTTGGGGCAAAGTGGTGGTGAGGAAGGCAGATCACTGGAAGGACGGCAGCTGGGCCTCCCTGTACATTCCCAGCTTGCACGCACACACACACACACACACACACACACAGGCCTGGATTTGGAAAAGAGTGTCTCCTGGGACAGGGAGGAAAGGAGGGCAGGGGGTTGAATCAGCCATGGAATGAAGATGTGGCGGGGACAGACTAGGAGACACTGGGCCAAGAAAAACAGTCCTGGTTAGCATGCTCACAGCACCTACTATATGCTGAACCACACTATGTGTGTTTCATGGTGTAACTAACAATCCTTCTGAAGAGCTAGGAGGCCCACTGTACCCCACTCTCCAGCCCTGGAGCAAGCACGGAGAGGTGAGGTGGCTTACTCTAGTGTTACAAGTCCACAGTGGCAGAGCTTAGCTGAGATCCAGCCCAGCCTGGGTGACGTGCCCTGTCTCAAAAAAGCCCCAAAATAATAATAAATAGGCAGACGTGGTGATTCCTATGTGTAATCCCAGCTACTTGGGAGGTAGAAGTAGGAGGACCAGGGTCAGGCCGGGCCAGGTCTGTGTGAGACCCAACCTTAAAAATTAAAGCAAAAAGGCCTGGGGGCATGACTCAAGTGGCAGAGCACAGACCCTGAGTTCAAATCCCAGTAGCACCAATCATATGTTCAAGCTGGGAGTGGGGACTTACATCTGTAAATCCTACATCAGGAGGTTCTAGGTGCCCACAAAATAAGGACACAGCAAAGCAGAGGCTGGACTGGAGTGGGTGTGGCCACCCCGTGACGCACACCGTGGGTGGGCGTGGCCGAACGGGGGCGTGGCCCGAGTCCTAGCCAGCCTGCCTGGCAAGCCCAAAGCCCCCCAGTTCAAACTCCAGAGCTGCCACCTTGAAAATCATTTCGTTGTGCTTTGCTTTTTCATGCACATATTCTGTGTTTTGAGTCAGGGCCTGGCCACACAGCCAGCCTGGCTTTGAACTCTCAGTTCACGAAGGTTCACTGCAGACACACAATCCCACACGCCAGACATGCGCACAGAGCTCTTCCTATGCCACCCTCCCTCCTGCTGCCCCCGGCGGGGGGCAGGAGGGGCAGGAGCACCACTACCCTGGGCCCCGCATCCCGCCGGACTCAGGCTCCCCTCTGCTCTACCGCCTGTTCCTTTGCCCCAGTTTGACTCCAGGGAGGTGGGCGGGGCCAGATGGCTTCGGGTGGGCGGAGCCAGAGACTTAAAAATGCGTGGGGCAGGGCCAGAGTTGAGGGCGGGGCCATATGGTGAGAGGCGGAGGCCGAGCTGATTAGGGAGGGGGCGGGGCCAGGGCGGGGCGGGGCCGGGGCCAGCCAAGGGCTGCAAGAGGCGGGGACAGACACTGAGAAGGAGCCTGTGGGCGGAGCCTGAGGCTGGGGGCAGGGCATGGGGGGAGGGGGAGGCAAGGGGCTGAGGAGGTGGCGGGTTGGCCGGGCCAAAGGGTGGGAAGGGGCAGGTGGTGGAGAACCCAGGCCGAGAGGGGAAGGGTGGCAACAGAGCTGGGTCGGGGCAGGCCCCGCAGGGGTGGAGCCGGCTCCCTCTGGAATTCCCCCCCTCCCCCTGCACAGCTGTTTATAAATTCCAGGCCGGGCCTTGGCCCCCACCCAGATCCCCCCTCCTGCCCCTCTCAGCCCCATCTGTGGCCCAGGCCCGAGCCAGGAGCTGGCGAGGCCCAGGCCTCCCTGCGCTGGCTCTGCTCTCAGGCTGCTGAAAGCCGGGCCCGTCCCTGCCCCTGAAGTCTCCCTGTCTCTTCCTGGGCTCCCCTTCCACCCTTGGCCCGCCCAGACATGCGGCCTGGGCCTGCTCACACGTGTGCCGCCTCGCCTCCCTCCCCCAGCCCAGGGAATCCCAGCCTCCCTGGCTCAACCTGCCTGGCCCAGGAGACAGGACATGGGGAGGCCCCAGCCTCTTCCCTCAGACCCAGGGGTCCAGGCCCCAGCTTCCTCCCTCAGACCTGGGGTCCAGGCCCCAGCCCCCTCCCTCAGACCCAGGGGTCTAGACCTCAGCCCTCTCCCTTAGACCCAGGAGTCCAAGCCCCAGCCTCCTCCCTCAAACCTGGTCTTTGCCTTCAGATGTGGCATCCATCCTCAAACCCAAGGGTCCAGGCCCCAGCCTCCTCCCTCAGACCCAGGGGTCCAGGTCTCAGCTTCCTCCCTCAGACCCAGCCCAGGGGTCTAGGCCCCAGCCTCCTCCCTCAGACCTGGTCTTTGCCTTCAGACCTGGCATCCATCCTCAGACCCAGGGGTCCAGGCCCCAGCCTCCTCCCTCAGACCCAGGGGTCCAGGCACTAGCCTCCTCCCTCAGATCCAGGGGTCCAAGCTCAGCCTCCTCCCTCAGACCTAGAGTTCCAGGCCCCAGCCTCCTCCCTCAGATCCTGGGCTAGGCCTTTACTCACCGCGGCTCACTCTCTGTTTGGCGCCTGACAGAATGCCGGGGGTGTCGATGATACTTATGCTCTCCAGGACCTGGTTGGGGAGCTGGGCGCACATGAACCTGGGGAGCAGCAAGGTGAGGGGTGAGTGCAGGAAGGGGGGAGGGGAGCAGGAGAGAGAAGGTGCAGAGAACCCGAGGAGCTGGAGAGATGGACAGTCAGGAAGAGAAAATGGATCCATTAAAAAAAAAAAAGCACAGTTCCAGCAGGGCATGGTGGTGCACACCTGTAATCCCAGCAACTCAGAGGAGGTGGAGGCCGGACAGCCGGACTGCTCAGCAAGGACGTGTCTCACCCAAACAAACAAACAACAAAAATCAGACTATGTGAAATGAAACGAAGCCAGAGCCCGCGGCGGAAGCCGTCCCTTGGACGTCCCAGAGGAGCAGGAGAGGCACAGAGATGGTCAGTCACTTCTCTGAGTGTGCCCAGCAACCTGGCTGACAGCAGAAGAAGAGGAAGAAGAACCAGGCAGACAGAGGGGGGAGCTGGCGCCGCACGGGAGAGAGGCAGAGTCGGGGTGCCAGGGTACCCCTCCTCATTGGCGGCCAACCACACCTGTTGAGGAAGGTGTTCCCAAAGGGGTTGAGCTTCCGGAAGGGCTTGTCCGGGTCTACCACCAGGGCGTTGCCGGGCACGGTGCCCTCCGTCTCCCCGTGCATCACAGCCACGAAGCAATCGGTGGTGGGTTCGGGCCCCACTCGGGAGCCAGGCACCTCTTGCTCCAGCAGGTACTGGATGAAGCTGGTTTTGCCCGTGCTGTACTGGCCGGCCACCAGCACCATGGGCTTGCCGTCGAAGTCGGCATCCTCGAGGGCGGGTGAGTGGAAAGCCCCGAAGCGGTACTGCTCCTCCAGGGGCAGCAGCTTGGTCCTGTACAACTCCTTGAGGGCCGAGGTCACCGTGCGGATCGCCTCGGGCTGCTGGCCGCGGGCCCCGCCCCGTTTCAGCCAGCTGAACATGGCGGACCACTGGACGGCTGTCTGTGGGAGGAGAGGACATGAGTGGGGGGCAGAATGGGAGGGAGGGAGATGAAGTGGATGTGAAGGGACAGATCCATCTAGGATATGGCTCAAAAAGGGGAATCTGGGGCTGGGAAGGTGGCTCAATGGTAGAGCACTTGCTTGCATGCATGAGGCCCTGGGTTCGATACTCAGCACCACATAAGCAGAAAAAAAAAGCCAGAAGTGGCGCTGTGGCTCAAGTGGTAGAGCGCTAGCCTTGAGCCGAAGAGCTGAGGGACAGTGCCCAGACCCAGAGTTCAGGCCCCATGACCGGACCCCCCCCAAAAAAGAAGGGGAATCTGGAGGAGGGTAGGTGTGGGTGAGAGGGAGCCTTCTGGAAGGAACACAGACAGACAAACAGACAGACAGACACACACACACACACCCATCTCCCCAGTCCATCTATTCCTGCCATGGATCAATTCTCACTGCAATCTATCCATTCCCTACTTCACAAGCTGCGGGCCCGGAAATGAACACAGAGACCAATGGCTTTCACCACACCCCTGTGGGGGACCTGGGCACTAAATAGTTAACAATGCTTGCACAACCTTAGGCAGTGGCTCAGGCCTGTAATCCTAGCTACTCAGGAGGCTGAGGTTTGAGGATCGCAATTCAAAGCCAGCTGGGGCAGGAAAGTCTGTGAGACTCTCATCTCCAATAAACCACTAGAAAACCGGAAGTGGTGCTGTGGCTCAATCGATAGAGCACTCCCCTTAAGCTGAAGAGCTGAGGGACAGCACCCAGGCCCAGAGTTCAAGTCCCACATTCAACCAGAAAAAAAAAAAAAAGGTCCAAGCACGGCTGACTTTTGGGGTGCTTCAGTAAGGACAGACGTCAGTGTGGCAAAATGTGCAAAGGGCCAGGGGAATGTGAGAGGCTGTGGGTGCTGAGATCATCAGATATTATCAAGACAGGCAAATGCAATGTTAATCATCACTGTAAAGCAGACACCAGTTCAGCTCGCCTGGCAAGGAACTGTTGGTAACACTGAGAAGAAAACACAGAAAAAGTCACTCACCCAAGATTGCTAAGCTGGACACCCATCCTCAAAACGAGTCAGGGAGAGGGCCCGTCGCCACCCAGGAGCAGGGAGCACCACCACCAAAGTAGGATCTCTCCAGCCCTACTACAGCCTTACTACAGCTCTATTACAGCTCTATTACAGAACCATTACAACACTACTACAGCCCTACTGCAGCACTACTACAGCCCTACTACAGCACCATTACAACACTACTACAGCTCTACTACAGCCCTGCTACAGCTCTATTACAGTCCTACTTCCCTCAGACCTACTGTAGGTCTATCATCTGTCTTATCTGTCAGATTTTTTTTGTCTGTCCTAGGGCCTGAACTCTGGGCCTGGGCGCTGTCCCTCAGCTCTTCAGTTCAAGGCTAGTGCTGTGCCACTTGAGCCATAGCACCACTTCCGGCTTTTTCTGCTTATGTGGTGCTGAGGAATTGAACCCAGGGTCTCATACATGCAAGACAAGCACTCTACCTCTGAGCCACCTTCCCAGCACCTCTGTGTCAGATCTATCTATCTATCTCTATATCCATTTGTCTCATCATCTATCTATATTATCACCTGTCAGTCTCTTTTTTTTTTCTTTTCTTTTTTGGTCGGTCGTGGGGCTTGAACTCTGGGCCTGGGCACTGTCCCTGAGCTCCCTTTTGCTCAAGACTAGCGCTTTACCACTTAAGCCACAGCGCCACTTCCAGATTTTTCTGGTGGTTTATTGGAGATAAGAGAATCACAGTCTTTCCTACCTGGACTGGCTTTGAACCTGGATCCTTGGATCTTAGCTTCCTGAGTAGCTAGGATTACTGGTGTTGAGCACCAGTGCCCGGCCAGTCAGTCTTTTATCATCTATCTGATCTATCTATCTGATTGTTGGTCTGGACATCATTCTTAATATCTTACCACCTATGTGTATCTGTCTAACACCTATCTACCTACCATCTATCTCTACTGTTCAGCTCCTTTTACTCATCATCGCTGTGTTTCTCTCGCCCTCCCTCATCTCCATGCTTATAATTTTAGTGATCCTCAAGAAAACGCTGCAAACTGGCTTTTTATTTCTTTCCTGTGGACCTGTCTCGCACGCCTGGCTCTTCGCAGGGATCTTTGCAAACTCTTTAGCAAGAGGCTGCTGAGAGCCAGGGACAGGGGAAGAGCAGGCCAGCACATGGGGATGGGGGAGAGGGGGGCACACGGGGGTGGGGAGAGGGGGGCACACGGGGGTGGGGAGAGGGGGAAGCACCCAGCCCTGGGACCCCGCTAGCCAGAGGTAGCACAACTGAGGCAGAGTGGCTGGGAATGGGGGTTCGCGAAGGAGGCGCAGGCCAGGGGCGGGGTGCGGGGCAGCCCGAGGGGCGAGGCGGGAGGGGCCGGAGCACTGCAGGAGGAGCTGCAGGGGCGGAGGTGGAGGTGGCGGCGGGGAGGGCACCTCGGTTGGGACAAACTGGGGGG